ACTATTAAAATGAATAGTCTAGAAATTATATAAAAATCTCCAAGGGTCTACAAATTCTGATATACTTTCATTCATAACTCTGTTTGTTATTCTGGAATGTTGTGTCTTACAAAAAGGACAGAGTTCCATGTCAATTGCATTATAATCAGATCTATAATCATGTCATTTTAAGGTTTTTTTTGTCATTTAGAGACAGTATTATTTTGTTATAATACATTTACAAAAATGTTACATCTTCTAAAAAATCCATGGAAAGGACTCTGGCTTATTTTAAATTACATGTCTCTAAGTATACATTTTCAGATCATACCCTTAAACTGGACAAGGATAACTAAAACTCTATGGAATGTCTGGACTTATAAAAATACTTGCAAAAATCCAGAGCAACAAAAACTGGTTTTGGGACTGAATGAACTGAAAATAATTGTAGTTTTGGTAACTTTTTGTTGAAAATATTGCTGATTTTTGATCTTTCTGTTTTCCAGGCTTACGAAAACTTGCTTCTTTTCTTAAAACAATTTGGTAAATTATACTTTCATAAACAATATTGAGGCACTTATATTTTTCTTTCTACCTGATCCCTCCCTAATTTGAAAACTTTTAATAAGTATTATTAATCTCATGGCTATGTATTTGTTCACATAAATCCAATAAGAATCTGATTTCTTTTTAACATGACATAGACTAGTTTCCAATTATGGTTTTATTAACCAAGACTTTGACTGAAATGTCATGTCTGAGAGAGAATGCCAGGAATCTGGATGTCACCATAAAGCTTTAAGAAATGGGGACTGTTTTTAAAGCTGGTAGAAGCCCCTGGGATAAACGTCCTGGTACCTTGCTTATTCATATGGCTCATGGCAGTCTTTCTTGGTAAGGAGCAAGGGTTGCTTTCCTGGAAGATGGCAAAGAAAGAACCTCAAGACATTTGGGGGCCTCAAGAACTTGAGGAATGCACCCTAACCTATAAGTAGTGCAAGCAAAACCAGATGGCTTGGCTTCTGTGCCCTGAGGGGTTGACTAAAGGTCAATCTATTCTTGTTGTGTTTATGCAAATAATTGATCAGGGTTAGCTAGCTAGTTTAATTAGGCAGACAGGAGGGGGGTCCAGGAAGGACAGAGGTCTCTTTGGCCTGAGCAATTAAAGCAGCCCTGACCTGAGCAGCTGGGAGAGCCATAGCGATAATAAAACACCTTCGGCCAGGACAACAGAGAGAGATCCATAAGGGAGAGCAAAAGCAACTCCACCCTGAACAGATAAGATGGCTATGTGAAGGGCACCATGTGGGCTTAGAGCTATGGAGCAGAATGACCAATGAGGAAAGCACGGGGGCCCCAAAGTAAGGGAAGAAACTAATTAGAAATGTCATGCTCAGACGAAGAGGTACAGCCTTTGTAAACCCGGAGACAAAGAGAGATTCAGATTATTTAGATATTTCCCCATTAGAGAGAGAGAGAGGGAGGGAGAGCAGGCCTTTTCCAGTTGGGGGCCCCTCTCCAGGAGGTCCCCTTTGGGGACATCCCTGCCCAGATGGAGTTTGCATATGCTTCCAATAAACGTCTACATTTTTATTAACGAAATCTATTAGTCCACGAATTTATTCTTTAACTTTGTTGGACAAGAACCCACAAGAAGAATCTGCACCCCAAGCCCCAGGTTTCATAATCAGGCCAAATTAAAACTAGATTTAATGAAGTCTCTAATAAAAATGACAGCCATTTTAGGGAGAAAAATTGTGTTTTAATGGAAATCACAATACAGTTGATTGTCTTCAAAGTTTAAAGTTTTGTTTTTAACTGTGAACTGAACTGGTTCCTGAATCTTCCAGATGTCTTCAGCCCTCCAAGTTAATGTTTCATTTTTTTCTCCCACCCTTTGACTTGGAGTAATTGAGAGCTACTGATACAATGCCAACCACAGAGAATCTATGAGCACCTGATGACGTCACCAGAGATATTTAAACTGCAGATAAAGAGGACCTATCAGATTGTCACTGCTTGCTTTCATTCCAGCAAAAGAAACTTTAACCCTTCTTGACTGACAGTCTTACAAACTCAGAAACTGGTTTATAATTTGCTCTGATCATTAACCTTTGTGTTTTTCTTCTGTTTTCATAGGCAGACCCCTTATCAAATACCTGGGTACTGTTTACCCAACGTAGGTCTCACTTCGAAAGCCCATCTGCATCACCACCTCCTGAAGTGAGACTCAATGATTTAACAAAACTGACTAATTTTCAGGCTAAATAATTAAATCAATGAAATATGGAGCAATCAATAAAGATGATGGTGCTTTGGGGACTCCAGCCTGTCCCTCCTTTGGGAGAATCAGCTAACAGCCTCTGTTCCAGTCTCTGAACATTCCCTGTGTCCCTCAGGTAGGCAGGGAGAGACGTCCACACCCTGTAGAGGCAGGGCCACAGCCCTTGTCAGCAGAAAGCAGTTACTAAAGACAGACCTTCCACCCTCCTCACCCCTAAGTGATTTCAGGGAGGGAAGTCTGTCTCTGAGGAGGGAGGGAGACAGGCAGGCCGGGACTAATGCACTTCAGCAGCACTTTCCATATGAAACCAGTCCCCTAGGTCTGCGATTTGATACTAACGGGGAAAGGATAGGGGTGGGGTACGCAATAAGAACAGAATCCTAGTTGATTAATGGCTATTCACTGCGCTAACTCTGGGTAAGAGATTTTTCTTACAGATTCTGGGAAACTGTGGAGGACGTGTTGTAACAAGAAAAACAGAGTCATAAAGAGAAACTGACCTTGAAGTCCAGGTGGCTCCATCACTCAGAGAGAAGGTACATTTTGAGAGCAAATCAAGGACAAGGCACGCTGAAGTAGGGATGTCTGGGGGCCGACCTTCTCGAGGACAATGTTAGAAAACAGACCTGGATACTCACACAGGTGTAGGTTTTTCCCCCCCACCCTCAGCCCAGTGGTTCTCAACCTTCCTAATGCTGTGAGTCTAGCCCTATATAATGGCTGGCTTGAGATGAGATGAGATGAGATGAGATGAGATGAGATGAGAGAGCGATTTTTCAGGGTATTATACCTGCCGGATCGCCAGCATCTGAATAAAATCACCTCAAAGATTCAACCTTGTCTCTACTAGTTGACTCTGATGTGTCAGGCAGCCGACCGTGGTTCCAGTTTCAAATCTGAGCTCTCAAAGGAAGCAGAAATGCCCCTTAGCCCAAATTAGCTCGCCCAATAACAGCCTGTACATAAAATGTGATTTCACATACCAAGCTCACGCAACTGTAAAGCTGAAAGAGAAATTTCTGTGGCCCCACCATAATCTTAGGGCATATGCCCAGCTCACGTGGGGACAGGGGGATTTTTAAAAAATTGACTTGAGAGAGAGAAACATCAATTTGTTGTTCCACGTGTTTATGCATTCATTGGTTGACTCTTGTATGTGCCCTGACCCAGAATAGAACCTGCAACCTTGGCCGCCTCAGGACGATGCTCTAACCCAGTGATGGCGAACCTATGACACGCGTGTCAGAGGTGACACGTGAACTCATTTTTTTGGTTGATTTTTCTTTGTTAAATGGCATTTAAATATATAAAATAAATATCAAAAATATAAGTCTTTGTTTTACTACGGTTGCAAATATCAAAACATTTCTATATGTGACACGGCACCAGAGTTAAGTTAGGGTTTTCAAAATGCTGGCACGCCGAGCCCAAAAGGTTCGCCATCACAACTGGGCCACCCAGCCAGGGCTCTGAGCCTGGGAAAAATCAACTGCCATCCCCAGCAGGAGGAGTTTTCTCATCCTCTGTAAAAGCCTGGATGAAATGCAAGAGAGAGGCAATTTCCCACTGAATGACCAACCCAGGGCAGCAGGCACAGGGGCCTCCTGTAATTCCATCGCCTCTAGTTCGGAGAGGCTGCAGCGAGGGGGACGCCTGGACGCATGTGTCAGAGCGGGCAACCCGATGACGCCAAAGCGCTTTGGTTTAACTTCACAACAGGGAAAAGTGAAGCGCTGTCCTCTTCCCAGTGCACTCTACCCCATCGCTACAAATTCCTGCCAGCAGCCGGCCCCCGGGGAGCAGAGCCCGCCCCCCGGGAAGCAGACTGCGGTACTGGCACCCCGGTCAGGCTCCAACCCTGTAAAGCAGGGTTTTCCACCCTTTGTATCTCGTGGCACATAAACTAATTAAAACAGTTCTGCAGCGCACCAAGAAAATATATCTATTTGCAGATCTGACCAAAAAAAAGTATCCTTGTGATTCATTCGCACCCGAGGGCTACTGTGCTGGCTGTTGTCATTTTTTTTACCTGACAGTCGAAGGGGAAAGAGGCCAGCGCCCTGACTAGCCAGGCTCTGCATGTTTAAAACTTCTTTCAGCAGCTGGTTGGAAATCACTGCTGTAAAGGAAGGCCTGTCGGACATAATACAACTCCAGTTCTGGGGCTTTATCATGTTGTCAGCCCAACTAAAAAGGTAAACATTTAAAAACCTGCCGATACAGCGATCACTGGGGCATCCAGCTCGACTCCCCCCCACCCCCCCACCCCGCTGTCCCCGCTGTCCCCGCATGGCATGGCGATGCCAGTGAGAGCGCCCACTGGGCAAGGACTGCGGAGGGAGAAGGAGGAAGCAGCAGGTACAGCAGCCCCGCACCCTGATCTGTGGGAACCTCAAACAAAGGGAGAAAACGAAGGTGGCACCTCCTGGATCGCAGGGTGACAGGGTGAAGGCGCCGCTGCGTGGGGGCTGCCCCAACGTTATCATCCCTCCGGCACAATCCGAAAGGCCCTCCTCCTCCGGCTGGCTCCTCCAGCCGGTTCTCTCTGGGGCTGCCACCACAGGGGGCCTTCGCTCAGCGCCACCCTCCTCACTGGAGGCTGCGGGGGCTCCTCGCCAGGCCTGGTCCGCCTTCTGAGTAACCTGGTCTCCTCTTTTCGTTTCGTAAGCGTCTCCAGTGCCCTCGGTGCCTGAGCTCTGACCCCAGATGAAAATTTACAGTATCGTTTCGCACTGAGTAACAATCTAAGACACAAGGAAAAATGTATTGTAACATATTTTAAATAATTCAGATAGCAGCAGCCCTTAAGCACTCAGCACGTGTGTTTGTATCTAAAGAAACAGTGAGCAGAACAGCAAAGCCACGAGGAATGCAGTCCGCACAGTGGTCCTTGGCAAGGCCGTGGGGGATGAACTTCCCTCTGATGTGACTTCTCAGACATTGTCGTGGTAAGAACGTAGCTTCTACTTGGTTCATTTTCTTCCTTGGAAAGTACATCTTTGAACTCTCAGTTCTTGAAAGCCATGGGCACGGCTGACCTGCCTTACCTGCAGGCAAATCCCCACGGGGCCTATGAATGACTTGCTTGTGAGCTCAAAAGTCTTACCGGCCCGACTCTCTCTCCGCCGCCCTAAGCTCGGACACACACCCGCACCAGAACACCCGCCAGCAGCACGGCCAGGAGCCCCAGCAGCAGGAGCCCCCGCCGCAGCGCCAGCTGCCTCCCGGTCAGGCCGGCCGGCCTGCGCCTCGGCCTCCGAGGGGCCGCTTCCTGGTGCAGCTGCTGATCCAGCGGGGCTTCGTCTTTCTTTTCAGCGACTCTCATCCCGGTCTCTCCCCGGCTCCCAGGGCCCCCTGGGGAAAGGAACTCAGTTAGCCGCCCGGCAGGAACTCTCCATCCGCATAAAAGGGACAGCAGAGGTGCCTGTACTGTGTGTTACTACCGGAGAAAGGTGGTTCCGGAAGCAGTTGCTCCACGGAGAAATGAAAGAAATTCCTTCTCAGAGGCCTCTCCATCGCCCACCACACCCTGGCCGGCGGCTGCTGCCGCGGGGGCCCAGGGAGCCCTGCCCACCCACCACCTAGAGGCCGGTGGTGGCTCTCGAGGCTAAAATTCGGAGGAGACTTCAAGGGACCACACCTATGCAACTGTCAGGAAGAGGAGATGGCCGGCAGAGGGGAAAGCCTAGGCAGTGATTCAGGGCATTCAAGTGCTGTAACCAAAGAGGGATGTGACTCCACCCTGAGGGCCGCGCGTGCCCCAGGACCGGACTGGCCTGGATGTAGCCTCGAGACCCTTAGATAGTGAGAGTGAGAACAATTTCCTGAAAACTTCCCAAGAGGAGAACAAAGGCAGGTCACCTAATGGAGCAAGAACAGACCTGTCACTAAGCATACAGGCGTGAGGGATGCTACAATGCCCTCCGTTGGGAGGGAAAACAATTGCAAATAGAACAGTGTCATCTGCACTTACAAAGTGCTTCTTTGCGAGAGGCCACTGCTCTCACACAGCCATGCATGCGAGGTAGGCTGCTGTCTCCTGCTTTTCACACGTGGTGGGGGCAGAAGACTGGGCCAGCCCGTCCCTGAAGACAATCTGAGAGCTGGTGAAGTAAGTGAATACCACCCCGAAGGCACCGGAGCACAGCAGTGCAATGGACAGGCAGTCACCAGCGCAAGGCCTGGGCCTGGGGCCTGGGGCAGGTGGACCCGGCCAGGGAGCTGGCACTTGGGGCCACCTTTGGCCGAGAGTCTCCCCTGGAGGAGCAGTTGGAGAGCCCAGCCCTGACCCAGGTGAGCCCTCTGTACTGCAGGCTGGAGCTCTGAAGGGCTGCACTGAGAACAAGCATGAACCAGAAGTAGCCAGCCCTTACACGGCCACCTCTGGGGGAGCCGGGGGCCGGGGGCGGGGGGATGGGAGGGCCAGAGCTCCCATTTCTGCCACTGCTCTGGACGGCTAGTAAGCAAGTGTTAGAAGCAAAGGAACCCGCTCTGGAGACAGACAACACCATCTTGGGCCTCAAATTACTTTGACAAACACTTTCAAACGCGAAAAGCCTAGCAAACGACCTGCGATTACGAGGTACCTGGGAGACTACGAAGTGCGGACGAGATATGGCAGAAAAACAGACTCGACCACTGACTGTGACTGAGCCACCCCGAGCTCAAAGGGCTTCTGTTCTAAAGGAGCGAAGGGCGAGTGTGGGCGCTGACTGCGTGCCTCCGGAACCCGGGACCCGGAGTTGCTAAGCTGACCGAGGAAAACGAGAAAGTCATCTGCAGGGTGTTTGTCAGAAGCACCAGCCAAGACAATAACCCGCTTAAGGCTTCCGTATGTGCCTGGTGAACAGGAAAACCCCACTGGAACAAACAAGCAGATGCCAGTTTCCCGGACAGGCCCGAGCCCAGGGCCACGGCACCAGAACCACCCTCAGGGGTCGCAGGAGCACCACAACCAGCCCGGGAGTGGCCACCTGCAGACTTGGGTCGTCGGTAGCAGTAGGCTCATGTCCGGAGTTAGGGCAAATGAATCTCAAGTCTTTTACCCCAAATTGGGTGTTTCTCGCCTTATTCAAGTGGAAACCCACAGCAGCAGATGGAGGTGTGGCCCACGAAGGGCCCCAGGACCGCCTGGAGCGGCTGTCCCGGTGCAGCAGCCAGAGCATACCTGGGTCAAGTAGGCCCTGAGCCAGCGATGTCCCATCCTGGGCCCCGGGTCGTCTCATGTTGGCATGTACCTGAGCCTACAAACGAAACGCAAGTGAATCCCCAGCTCTCCACGGTGCAGGGGCCTATCTGACTTGACTACCCAGTTCAGAGAAAGCCCAGCCATTTTCTGTCATTCACATGGAACAGCGGAGCTTCTCCTGTTCACACGTATGGACTCATCTTTCATGATGACTGACGTGGGGGAGGTTGGATGGAAAAGCACAAGATGAGGGGGAGGAGGGGGTCCAAGATCATCTCGAGGTAGCCCCTCTTGCCCTTTATCTCATTCATCTGTCACCGATTTTTCAAACCCCACATTGACCCTAGAAAGTTGGGGAGAAAGGTGCACACATGCATCTTAACAGAATGTTTTGGGGTCATAAAAACAGTATCAGGAGACACGTGATGGCACGCCACCTTTCCAGTTCCACATTTGTCCTGAAATTGGCTTGTCAGACACAAGGGAAGTGGCCCAGCATGGGATCCCAGGAAGAAAGGAACCCCCACTTTCCTATTCGATGAATAAACAAAGGGGAATGAGTCAAGCGAGGGTCACCTGGCCCTTCAAGTCTGAATTAGATGCAGATAAAACCACAACAAGAGAGGAACAAGAATGAGAGCGAGAGAAGGGGAGGGGAGAGAGGAGAGCCCAGCAGACTCTCCGAGGGAGGACCTGGCCGGCCGGCAGTGAGCGCGTTACCTGCTGACAGGCTTTCTCCCAGTTCAGCCGAGCGATAAAGCCCAGGAAGCAGACTGCCTGGCAGACGGTGCAGATGACGATCCCCGCCCACAGACCTGGGGGGACAGCGGGCGGAGGTTAACGGTGGAACCAGCCTCCCGCGGAGCATGCTTCTCCCGTCTCCCGTCTCAGCATCTGCTTTCACCGCCGAGCTAGAGCCAGAGCCTCTCTCCTGCTCTCTCCTTCAGTTTCCAGGAGGCCCAGGGCTCCCTGGCCTACCTCCTGGAGTTTTGGATCTCAGAACAAATGTTCAGAATCATGTTAGAAAAGTGACAGTTATAAGGAAAGGAAATTTCCAGGACAAACAACATCCCATCTCTAATAGTACTGCCAGACTACCACGCCCCATTTCATTCAGAGAAGGAACTAACGCTTTTAAGCAGACGCAACAGCTGCCTAAAGTGCTGCTGCTCTCTCCCTGGGCGCTTCCTGCAGAACCTACTTGCTCAGGCGCCAAGCTGGCAGCTCTAGGGCAGGTACCTGAGTGACAATGGAGGATGAGAAAAGCCTTGTAGATCCTGAAGTACCATCCATATGCCACTTAATAACCCACATGTGGCCAGAGGGAGACCCCCGGGGGTGAGGGGATTTTTGGTCAACAGTGAACTAACGGCATCAGAAACTCTAACAATAGCCATAGCGGTGAGAGACTAAATATACAGACAAAGGTCAAACCCTGACCCACAGCCTATGGCAACCTGTCTTAAACCCACCGTATCTGCAATTAACATCCCAGGACGCCAGCCTGCTCTGCTCCAGTCCTGAGCGAGGCCACATGGCTATTGCTAGGGACAGTCTAGGAAGTGAAATAACAACTTCTGCACCAATTGATCCAAAATGACCAGGTCTTGACCAATAACTGACAGCTTCCCAAAATTTTGTCCCTGCTTCCTATTTAGGACCAGCCAGAGAAAACCAAGCATGCACCCCTAACCAACTGCACAGGACACCCCACTTCTAGTCCGCTGGCCTCCACAGGGCTCAGGGGAGCCTTCGCTTCGTCCCACTGCAGCGCGCTCCCTCCCCGCTGCCTGCCTTTAAGTCTCTGCCAAGCACAGTGCAGGCGGCTGGCTGTGCAGAGCAAGCTCTGAATGAGCGGCCTTGGTGTGTCCCACTTGGTTGGTCTTTGGCTCTTTCTGAATCTGGGTAAAGTACAGTGGCCAGGCTGGGCTAATGGTTTACAGGGAGGTGCCCAGATTCAGTGCCAAGTACCAATCATTCTCAAATCACACTTTCCAGGTGTGATGAACTGATATCCTATATAGTAAAAGGGTAATATGCAAACTGACCCTAACAGCAGAACGACTGGGAATGACTGGTCACTATGACACACACTGACCACCAGGGGGCAGACACTCAATGCAGGAGCTGCCCCCTGGTGGTCAGTGCGCTCCCACTGGGGGAGCTCTGCTCAGCCACAGCCAGGCTGCCAGCTGCCAGCACAGCGATGGTGGTGGGAGCCTCTCCTGCCTCCTTAGCAGAGCTAAAGATGTCCGACTGCAGCTTAGGCCTGCTCCCCGCTGGCAAGTGGACATCCCCCGAGGGCTCCCGGGCTGCCAGAGGGATGTCTGACTGCCAGCTTAGGCCTGATCCCCCCATACACCCGGGGATCGGGCCTCTAGTTTAGAATAAAGTAGGTGCACTGGGCCTCTAGTTTAGAATAAAGTTAGTGACTAACTGTCACTCCTATAATGGACAAACAGAAGCACATATATATTCAATCTATTGTTCCCAACCTATAGAAACTATGAGCTCACCCTAACCATCTTACTAGTAAACAGAATATAACCAGCTGCTCTAGCTGTAATTTGCAAGCTATGAATTAGATTTCCAGGAGTTTCACGATACACTATTTAAAAGATTGCTGTTTGACCTCACCTAAGAACCCTAAAACCAGAAGGTTATCAGAATCCCTGGGCAGAGCCCAGGAACGTGTGTGTTTGAAAAGCCTCCCAGGGGATGATGATGGCCCTTGTGATCTGTGGAGCCGCCCACGGGACCCTGTGGCGTTGTGCTGCCCGAGGGCGCCGTGTCCAGTTCTAAGTGGTGGGTCAGAGGTTGGCTGCAGTCCTCCCGCAGAGCCCTCACCTCCCTGGGTCCCAGCGTTTTTTTATTGAGATGCAATTGACACTCAGCATGACATTCGTTTCAGGCGCACAACATGATAATTCATCACGTATATATACAGTTCACCCTTGAATAATGTGGTGCTAGGGTCTTATCCGCTGCTGCAAGGGTTCAGGAATCTGGAGAAGGGGCTGTGATGTAAATTAAATAAACTAGACATGAAATATAAATTTGGGGGAGCCAAGGGAGACTTAGCTCTAGTGACTAAGCTCTCTGAATCTCTGGTCCCCTCAGCCCAGCCTGCACCCTCTCCAATCCAGGACCCCTTGGGGGATGTCCGAAATTCGTGCACAGGGATCAGGCCTAAACCAGCAGTCGGACATCCCTCTCACAATCCGGGACTGCTGGCTCCTAACTGCTAGCCTGCCTGCCTGACTGATCTCCCCTAACTGCCCCCACTGCCAGACTGATCACCCCTAACTGCCTCTGCCTGCTGGCCTGATCTCCCCCAACTGCCTCCCCCTCACTGGCCTGGTCACCCCTAACTGCCCCCCTGCCAGCCTGGTCGCCCCTCACTGCACCCCCTTCCAGCCTGGTTACCCCACACAGCCTGCTGTTCGGTCATTTGGTCATCCCTCACTAACCCCCCTGCCGGCCTGGTCACCCCACGCAGCCTGCTGTTTGGTCATTTGGTTGTCCCTCACTAACCCCCCTGCTGGCCTGCTTGCCCCACGCAGCTTGTTTGGTCTGTCCAGTTGTTTTGTTCATGATGGCCCCTGGCTTTTATATATATGGATTTTGCCCTATAGCAAAGCAGATATACATATCAGAGGTCAGGTGTGGTTAACAGTAAAGGACCATCAGGTTGGGGGAACTGCCCTCAGCTGTCTGGCAGCAGGCAGTAATATCTGCAGATCTTCAGCCCTGCTGAAGCCCCAAGGTCCATCAGCCTTCTGATGAACTTCTTGCATAATTATCACCTGCTGGAATTTGCTTCCAGCAATGCAGGGATTAAAGGCACAGATGCCTGCACAGTCGAAAGTCTGTGTATAATTTTCGACTCTCCCAAAACTTAACCATAGCTGGCCCTTTGCAACCTCAGATTCAACCAACCATGAATCAAAAACAGTATTTTCAACCCACTGTTGGGAACCCGCAGATTGGGAATACAAAAATACTGTTTTTGATCGATGGGTGTTTGAATCCACAGATGTGAAATCTGTGAGATGAAGGGCTGACTGTATTTATTGAAAAAAACCCACATATAAATGAGCCTGTGTAGGTCAAATCCGTGTTGCTCGAGGGTCCGCTGTACTGTGACACGGCGGCCACAGTGAGTCCGGTAACACCCGTCACCATGCAGCTAGTGTTTTCTTATGATGGCAACGTTTGAGAGCTACTCTCTTACAGCCTTCAAGTGTACGACACTATTCATGGCTACAGCCACCATGCACGCATCACATCCCCAGGACTTAGTTTATACCTGGAAGTTTGGGCCCTAGCATTTCCTTTAAGTGATTCTTTTCTGCCTGTGCTTTGCACATAGTAGGTTTGTTTGTTAAATGACTTGGGGCCCAGTACAGCACTTGGGACATAGATGTATCTATATTTCTCAGTGGATTCTGCTAATATCCCCCTTAGCTCTGCCATTGTCAAAACTGAAATATAAGTAACGCCAGGAACTCAGCTAAATAATTCTCTGCACCACAATGCAAGCCCGGTGAACTTTGCATTGGCAACTCCATTCTTTGTACATCTCAAGTAATTTTTACTAAAATATTATTGAACTTGAGAAAAAACGTCCAGCCCGCGGGGGCACTTTGGACTCCAAGTTCACTCTGGGCGTCAGACTTCCGTCTCCTCCGAGCCCGCCGCACTGATGGGCGCAGACAGCCTGCGCCTGAGCCCAAGGGTAACGCACTCAGATGTTAATGGCGTCATTTATTAATCGCCCATGTGCTCCAAAGTGTTATTTTAGAAACCAAAGCTGCGCAGTCATTTCTCTCCCTGCTGTTTAAAAAATTCGCTCTGGTAATTTCATACCCTGTAGGTTAACCTCTTTCCTCCCGATGAGGTAAGGGATGGGGTCCCCCCCCCCCCCCGCCTCCTTCCTGCTGTCACAGGCTCCCCACGGCCTTGTGGGGAGACAGACATGGTGGGAAAGGCTGTGCCAGCGGGCGGTGAGGCTGCGGGGGGGGGGGGGGGACCTAGAGAGCACAGCTCTGGGGTCATTCTCTGGGCTTCGCCCTCGGGAATTCCCCCCCCCCCCAATGCACAGGGGGCGCTGCTCCGGACAGAAATGGCACCAAAGAGGTTCCCCCAAGTTCTGTAGGAACCGCACCCAGCTGTCCCATGGCCTCCCCGCCTCCAGGGTGGCCAGTTCAGGAGGCGTCAGTGGGCCCCCGCTCAGGGCTTGCATGCTGGGCTCCCCAAAGCGCAGCTGAGCCCCTGGGGACATCGGGAAGGCGCCACAGCCAGTCCTTGCCCCAGGAGGAGGGAGCACTGGGGGGGGGGCGAGGCGGGGGCTGGAAGCCGCCCCCGGGCAGGAGGGCCCGGGGGGTGCAGCTGGCCCTGGTGCCGTCCACCCTCCCTGGCCTCCCAGACCGCGGGGGTGGCAGGGAAGTCCCAGAGGACTCACAGCCTCTGGCTGGACTCTGAGTGACCGGCTCCGCCCGCCTCCCCCACCTGCATCACCCTCCTACCTGCATCTCCCCCCCACCTGCATCTCCCCCACCACCTGCATCTCCCCACCACCTGCATCTCCCCCACCTGCATCTCCCCACCACCAGCATCTCCCACCACCTGCATTTCCCCCACCACCTGCATCTCCCCCACCTGCATCTCCCCACCACCAGCATCTCCCACCACCTGCATTTCCCCCACCACCTGCATCTCCCCCACCTGCATCTCCCCACCTGCATCTCCCCCACCACATGCATCTCCCCCCACCTGCATCTCCCCACCTGCATCTCCCCACCACCAGCATCTCCTCCATCACCTGCATCTCCCCACCATCGCGTCTACCCCCGCCCCCTAGTTCACCGACACCCCCCCCCCCCCCGCATCTCCTCCCCCCTGCGGGAAGCTCACCGACACACACACACACACACACACACACACACACACACACACACACACACACCCCGCAGGCTCACCGATCACGCCCAGCCTGGTGGCGAACATCAGGGAGATGCCGATGGGGAGGCCGATCACGTAGTAGCCGACGGCGTTGAGGATGGCGCCCACCTTCTGGTTCCCGCTGCCGCGCAGGATGCCGCCGCCCGTGCACTGCGGGCGGACACGCGGTCAGGGGCGCAGGCCGCGCGGGGGGAGCCCGTGCCGCCCGGGAGGTGCCCCCGCCGCCCGGGAGGAGCCCCCGCCGCCCACTCACCGCGAGGCCCTCGAAGAGGTGGGACAGGGCGTACAGCGGCACCACCTGCGCCACCAGCGCCAGGATGTCCCTGAGGAGAGGCCACAGGTCGGGCGGGTGCGGGGCGGGACCCTGTGCTGCTGGGCCCGCAGCCCCGGCTCCGCGCCGCGTGTCGCGCTTTTAGCAGAAACCCCGACCCACGGGCCGGACCCCCACGGGCTCCGTCTGCCGAGGGAGCCAGGTTCTCCCCGGGGACCGGCTGGCAAGGTGCAGGCGTAGCGGTCCACGGCTCCCTGTGGGCCCGCGGCCGAACCCCGCAGCGGAGACCGCGGTTAACGCCGGCATCCGGGAGACCCAGGCCCTGGCACCGCCTGCCAGCAGCGCGCACTGCCCAGGACTCTGGCTGGCAACACACAGCTGTTGAATGAATGAGTAAGAAAGACACCCAGCCCGGAACAGGACGACTGCCTCCCCAGTCAACGATAGAACACTTATTGTATCCAGAATTGATTGTATTTTCTGAGTAGGTGATGTGCACGTGGCTAAGAGAAATCAAACAAAATGAAAAGGAAAGGGAAGAGTCTCTCATCCACTCCTGTCCCCCTCCTATGCCCCCACCCCCTCCTAACCCCACCCCCCACCCTTCTAACCCCCCACCCCCTCCTAACCCCACCCACCCTTCTAACCCCCCACCCCCCTCCTAACCCCCCACCCACCTTTCTAACCCCCCACCCCCTCTTAACCCCCACCCACCCTTCTAACCCCCCACCCCCTCTTAACCCCCCACCCACCTTCTAACCCCCCACCCCCTCTTAACCCCCCACCCACCTTTCTAACCCCCACCCCCTCTTAACCCCCCACCCACCCTTCTAACCCCCCACCCCCCTCCTAACCCCCCACCCCCCTCCTAACCCCCACCACCCTTCTAACCCCCCACCCCCTCCTAACCCCACCACCCACCCTTCTAACCCCCCACCCACTCCTAACCCCACCGCCCCCTCCTAACCCCCCACCCACCCTTCTAACCCCCCACCCACTCTTAACCCCACCACCCACCCTTCTAACCCCCCACCCCCTCCTAACCCCACCGCCCCCCTCCTAACCCCACCACCCACCCTTCTAACCCCCCACCCCCCTCCTAACCCCCCACCCACCTTCTAACCCCCCACCCACTCCTAACCCCACCACCCACCCTTCTAACCCCCCACCCCCTCCTAACCCCACCGCCCCCCTCCTAACCCCACCACCCACCCTTCTAACCCCACAACCCCCTCCTAACCCCCACCCCCCTACTAACCCCCCACCCACCCTTCTAACCCCCCACCCCCCTCCTAACCCCACCACCTACCCTTCTAACCCCCCACCTCCTCCTAACCCCACCACCCACCCTTCTAACCCCCCGCCCCCCTCCTAACCCCACCACCCACCCTTCTAACCCCCCACCCCCTCCTAACCCCACCACCTACCCTTCTAACCCCCCACCCCCTTCTAACCCTCTCACCCCCCTCCTAACCCCACACCCACCCTTCTAACCCCCCCACCCCGTCCTAACCCCCCACCCACCCTTTTAACCCTCCCACCTCCATCCTAACCCCCCTCCTAACCCCCCACTCCCTCCTAACCCTCCCACCGCCCCCCCCCCCGTCCTAAACCCTCCACCCACCCTTCTAACTCTCCCACTCCCATCCTAACCCCACCTACCCCCCTCCTAACCCTTCCATCCCGCAACCGGTAACAATTCCACCACTGTCTGTATTAGCTCAGTGTTTATGAAAAATAGGAAATACAAATATATATTCCTATTTTCCCCTTCTAGACTCTGCTATTTCATATTGCAGCATTCGCTATATGATGTGCTGCACTCTCATTTTCCACCTAACACATTCCATGCCGTTTTACATTCCATCAAAATGTGTTATTTTTGATGTGCTGCTGAATTCTGTCCACCAATATTTTGCTTTGGATTTTAAAGTTCCTATTAGTCAGTGACGATGGCTGTGCCTCTTTCTTGCTGCCTTGGTCAGAGTTGGTGCCGATGTCCATTCGCTTCATCGGCAGGATGGGGACTGTCCCTCTCCTGCTTCCTGGAACGGCTCAGACGGCATCGCCGCCGTCTAGGTTTTAGAGGTTTTATAAACCCTCCTCTGTCTAGGTTTTAGAGGTTTTATAAATCCTCCTCTGGAACCCTCTGGATTGGTGATGTTGAAATTTTAAAGAGTTTCTTCTAAGGAAATCCATCTTGTAGACCCTCTATGTTGTCTAGGGCAAGTTCTGATAAATTATTTTCCTAGAAAATTACCTTTTCCCCCGGGATTTTCACATTTACTCGCGCACGTCGTGCACACGCAGGCCTGTGGGTGAACATGACCGCTGTGCCCGGCTTTGTGAGGCGCTCTCCGCGCACCCCCCCCCCCCCCCCCCCCCCGTCAGGCCGGGGTGTGTGCCATCGCTGGGACCTGTGCCACCTCCACCAGTTCCAGCGACCCGGCCAGCCTACAGCTGTCTGCCCGTTTTCAGTGGCGTCTTCTCATCTCATCAAGGCATCGGCTGTGAGCCTCCTGCTTCCCGTTCGTTGTCCTGCTCTGCATGGTTTCCGGAAGGGCACGGACTCCGAACCGAACGCCCACTTTCCCGCCGAAGCCTCGGTGCAGCGAGCACATCTGACGAAGGACTCTGATCCCTGGAGAGAATGGGTGCCTGCGGTTGCCTTCCCGCTCGGTCTGAAGGGAGCGACAGCTAGGCAGCCCAGCTGCCCACAGGAATGGCGGGGACCGAGCTGACCAGTACCTGGAGGACCGGCGCGAACGTTAGTCCTGTCCCTCCGCCTGCTCTTTGCCTCCATGACGGGAGTCGGCTTGCCTGTGTAACTGCTGATGAAAAGTCGCAGAGAAGAGGTAGCCCCACAGCTAGCCACAGAGAAATGCCCGGCTGGCCTCGGGCTGAAAGCGACAGCGCCAGCCACACAGCAGCCGCGCCGTGGAGGGCACCCCTCGGGTAAGACTTCTGCCTCGGTGATCAATCAGATGGCGCAGCCTTGACAGACAGCCCACTGGTGCGACTTGAACTTCCGCCCGCTGACAGGGGTCTTGTGTGAACACTACGCACCAGGCGCTCCGGCACACGCTGAGCTATCACGGCGATTTTTGTCATGGGAACAAAATAATTAACCGAAAATGCAATCAATGGGACCAAAAAGGAGTTTCCTCCTTGAAAACACACGAGTGTCCTGAGCGCCAGAGCGTATGCCACCACCAATGCCAGGACACTGGTCCCCACCCGTCAGTCCCCAGGGAACACCAATGAGCTTCTGATGTTGCAAATGACGCAGGAACCGACCAAGACGCAAGGCCCCAGGGGCCCAGCGTGGCAGCACCGGCCCAGCCCTGTCTTTACCACAGGTTTCCCCTCTCGGCACTCACCGGTCGGTGGTGAAAATGTACCCCACAAGGTCCTTACAGCTTACCAGCAGGACACAAAAGGCTACCGCAAAGAGCTCTGGAGGAAAAACGAGAGAGAAACAGCCCGTGAGAAAGGAGGCCCGTGGGCCGGGCGCGGAGGTCCGCGCAGACGGCTGGGGGAGCCGCGGGCGGGCGGAAAGCTGAGCACCTGTGACCAGCACGGAGACCACGGAGCACCTCCGGGCCCGCGCGATGTCTCCGGCGCCCAGCGCGTTCCCAATCCGGACACTGGCGGCCACGCTGAAGCCCGTGGGTATCTGCAAGAAGGGAGCGGTCAGCGCAGGGACCGGCCCTGCCCCCGGCTCCGGAGCCTGCTCTGCACCTTCCAGGGAAGAGGGACTAGGCAAACCGAGCTTCACGGCTCCTTGGTAGAACTTGGTCCTAAAGCTATAAGAAGGGTAGTTTGTGTCTCGCTGGAGCCGCCTGGCTAACATGGGACCTGGGACCCTGGGCTGTGATCCTTGTCACAAGCCTGGCTTTTCTGCACAGAGTCCAGCCTGGGCGCTGGGAGGGCTGCACCGTCACTTTCGCCCTTGGGTGTGGAAGGATGGATGCCAGGAGCCCAAATAGGTCTGTTCTGAAAGACCCTCAAGGGGGCACGTTTAGAAAACAGAATCCTAAAAGGGTGACCCCTCCCCGTGCAAATGTTGGATAAAAAGAACTTACGAAAACGGGAAGACCCAGCCCAAGCCAGTAGCAGTGCTGCCCTCTGTGAGGCCAGAGGTGGTGCCAAAGGAGACAGAGGAAAGAGGTGTGGGCTGTGGTTAGGAACAGGGATTCTGAAGCCAGACTGCCCGGGTGCAGATCCCAGGCCAGGCACCTCTGAGCTGTGTGACCTGGCAGGTTACCTGCCCTCACTAGACCTCAGCTACCTGGAAAGAGACCTCATAAGAGGACCTGCATATCAGGGTTATGTCAGGAGCAAATGAGTCCATGCGTGCTAACTACTTAGATCAGTGCCTCAAACATAGCAATTATTCAGGAAAAAGTAGCCATTATTATCTATATACTAGAGGCCTGGTGCACAGATTTGTGCACCTGTGGGGTCCCTCGGCATGGCCTGCAGGGATTGGGCCGAAACCGGCAGTCCAACATCCCCAAGGGATGTAGTAGTGTGCAAAGTGGCAGGCGGCCAGGGAGGAGCCCGAGCCCGAGCCCGGGCCAGGTGCCGCTCCCGCTCATCCCAGCCCCGCTGTGCCTGCCGCCGCTCGGTAGGCTCGCTGCCGCTCCGCTGCGGTTTCCGTGCCCATCCTAGGGCAATACGGGTGCATCCATGACTGACAAGCAACTGCGGGCTTGTGCCCAGTCAGTCCCGATGCTGGTCCGGATGGGGGAGGGGCACACAGGGGGAGTGTCCGTGGGAGAGGCTCCCATTGGTCAGCTGAGCAGTGCTTCCGCTTGGGAGCAGCTCCTGTGTTGAGCCTCTGCCCCCTGGTGGTCAGTGTGCATCATAGTGACTGGTTGAACAGTCGAATGGTCTCTATGACACAAACTGATCACCAGGGGGCAGACACTCAACGCACAGGCATGGAAACATGGAACAGACTGATGAATCTCAGAGGGAAGGGCGAGGGGGGAGGACAGGAAGAGATTAACCAAAGATCTTATATGCATACTAGAGGCCTGGTGCACAGATTAATGCACCGGTGGGGTCCCTCGGCTTGGCCTGCAGGTATCAGGCTGAAACCAACTCTCTGACATTCCCCGAGGGGTCCCAGATTGCAAGGGGGCGCAGGCCAGGCCGAGGGACCCCACCGGTGCACGTGTTATCTATAAATTTATCATGTGAGAAATTAAGTATTAATTAAGGCAAAATATTTATCACTCATTTAAACAAGGATTTTGCCTTAGGATCAGGATCGCTAAAGGAAGGGCTATAGAAAGGGACAGAGCAAGGTAGATAAAAGAAATGGGAGACCAGCCCTAGTGGGAGCAAACACAGGGGTCTCCCAACAAATTCTTTATCATCACAATGCAAAGAGCGTGACTTGATGGCGGGAAACCGGGCAGACAGTGCTGTCACCACGCAGCCAGTTAATATCACCAAAGGCACAAATCTGGTGACGGCTACACGTACCAGAGGTTACCTTGGCTAAGCTACCTCAGTTCTTGAGTTTGGCTGGGAAAGAATTCAGAGCCAAGGAACTCAAACTATAAGAGAAAGCTTATTTAGAAAGTCCCAGGGTAGGTGAAGTGAACCGTGGAAGAAGCGAGTCAGCTGGGCAGTGGAAACAAGCTATAGAGGCAAGAGAGGGGCCTTAGAGCTTAGGAGGGAGGGAGGGAGGGAGGGAGGGAGGGAGGGAGGGAGGGAGGGAGGGAGAGAGAGAGAGAGAGAGAGAGAGAGAGAAAGAAAGAAGAAGGAGGAGGAGGTGGAGGAGGAGAGGGAGGGAGGGAGGGAGGGAGGGAGGGAGGGAGGAAGGAAAGAAGGAAGGATAAGAAAGGGAAAGGTGCCCTAACCAGTTTGGCTCAGTGGATAGAGCGTCGGCCTGCGGACTGAAGGGTCCCAGGTTCGATTCCGGTCAAGGGCATGTACCTGGGTTGCGGGCACATCCCCAGTGGGAGGTGTGCAGGAGGCAGCTGATCGATGTTTCTCTCTCATCGATGTTTCTAACTCTCTATCCCTCTCCCTTCCTCTCTGTAAAAAATCAAAAATATATATATATGTAAAAAAAAAAAAAAAAGGGAAAGGTGCCCTGACCAGTTTGGCTCAGTGGCTAGAGCATCAGCCTGTGGACTGAAGAGTCCCAGGTTCGATTCCTGTCAAGGGCATGTACCTTGGTTGTGGGCACATCCCCAGTAGGAGGTGTGCAGGAGGCAGCTGATGGATGTTTCCCTCTCATGGATGTTTCTAATTCTCTATCCCTCTCCCTTCCTCTCTGTAAAAAATCAATAAAATATATAAAAGAAAAGAAAGGGAAAGGTAACACGGCTTGCCCTCAAGGCATTCGTGTTGTGACAACTATTTGGCAAGTCTGGCAATCAAATGACATCTTTCAGACATGGACCATGTTGGGGGATGGAAGCCCAGCAGTGGACACATCAGTAAGACCCTCTCCCCACCCCCACCCCCTGCCAGTGAGCCGACCAGTGACCCCCCACCAGTGAGCCCACAGGAAGACCCCACCCCCCCACCAGTGAGCCCACAGGTAGACCCCACCCCCCACCAGTGAGCCCACAGGAAGACCCCACCCCCCAGTTGTGAGCCCACAGGAAGACCCCACTCCCCCCCACCAGTGAGCCCACAGGAAGACCCACCCCCCCACCAGTGAGCCCACAGGAAGACCCACCCCCCCACCAGTGAGCCCACAGGAAGACCCCACCCCCCCCACCAGTGAGCCCACAGGAAGACCCCACTCCCCCACCAGTGAGCCCACAGGTAGACTCCACCCCCCCACCAGTGAGCCCACAGGTAGACCCCACCCCCTCACCAGTGAGCCCACAGGAAGACCCCACCCCCCACCAGTGAGCCCACAGGAAGACCCCACCCCCCCACCAGTGAGCCCGCAGGAAAACCCAAACCGAAAGGACCTCTCAGGCTCTGGGATAAGCTTTAGGAGTGAATGTGGTGGACAGACGTGCGCCTGTCTTGGGACCCTCTCAAGAGACACATCTAGCCCCTCCGCACAGCCAGCCTCAGACACTCACCATGAAGACCATAGTGGCCAGTTCATAGACGATGGACTGGGCCCCCAGCTCCACCATGCCGAGGATGCCTGAGGAGAGAGGCCGCTGGTGCCGCGCTTCCGGGCCAGGCCCCCCGCCCCCAGCGTCCCCTCCCGCACTGACCGCTCAGGAAGCTCCCGATCTCGTAGGCCCACCACTCCATGCACAGCATGAGCATGCTGGGGATGGCCAGGCGGAAGAAGGAGCCCCAGTCCTGCAGGCACTCCAGCGACCACCCTGCGGGGGACGCACAGTTTCAACACAGCTGGGCCCCCGCCTGGAGCGCACCCGAGGCAAAGCCCACGGCCACGCTGCAAAACAAAAGACAGCCTTTACCTCCCCAGGTAGCTCGATGCAGTTTCTTCCAGATGATGTAGAGAAAGAGGAACAGAGCCAGGGAGAACTGGGAGATCAAGTTGGCCATTGCCGAGCCCCTGGGAAGAGCAGCCCGTGAGGGGAGTGCGCTCTCCGCCCTCCGCCTCCCTCAGCCGGGGCGCCCTCCCACCCGCGCTGGGATATCTGAGGCAGGCCCTCCTTCCAGAGCATTCCTCTCCCCCACCCCTGTCCGGACCCTGTTTCCCAGAGGGTCCAAGGCGGAGACCACACGTGGACACGCCCAGGTCAAGGCCTCCCCCCCAGCCTTGGAGAAGCCACACGCTGTCCCAAGAATCGGTCGGACTCACATCACCCCAAGATGCAGTTCGTGGAGAAACAGATAGTTGACGAGAGCGTTGACGAGGTTGGCTGCAACTCCGGTTAGGATCTGGGGCAGTATGATTCCCTAGAGCGAGGAGAGACCGCACCTGCTAGAGACCCCTGGACCCAGTGGGGCACGGGCTGCCGCGTGAGCCGACGTGCTGTGGGTGCCTCCTTGCTGCACGGACCTTCCCACCCTCCTAGCACCCCCTCTCCTCCTCCTCTCGGCGCCATGGCGAGACCAGGGCAGGAGGTGGGACGCAGAGAGGAAAGGAGAGAAACTCTACAATAGTGCCAGCGCCAGCAGTGATGACATCGTATGAACAAGCTGCTTTCCACATTGGACTGTGGGTGCAAGCACACCACCTTCTCAAGTGAAATGGAAATTGGGAAACTGGAGTGTGGGGTGCGTTCCCTCCTATCTGGCTCTGCTCGTAAGTCTTATCTGGCATCTCAAATCTGAGACGTGCAGCTGACAGTAAAATGGCATTGCACTGAGGAAGTGAACGGCTGCTGCCAGGCGTGCGGTGTCATCTCGCCCCTTTGAACCCTTTCTCATCTCTGGGAAAGCTGGTTCTCTGAAACCACATCTGTAAAAGCCTTGCTGTTTGAAATCCTGTCGGTAAAAGTAAGACACCCCACTCTGCCTGGAGGGTTGAAGTCAGTTCCACACAGAGCAGCCTCCATGTCCCACCCAGAGGCCAAGCTCCCCGAGCTCCAACACAGCCGTCCACATCGGCCCCAGCTCTGCGGCTTCCCAGGCGAGAGGACTCGGGTGGAGAGCCGGCGGCCTGGCCCTGACTTCTCCGCTCGGCCTGCTCTGCTCGGAGCCTCCCGTAGCGGGCGTCCTTGGGTTGCACTGAACTGCACCCCCCTTCGGTGAGAGCCCACCCCCCGATCTGTCGATGCTCCGGCTGACAGACCTGACTGCCAGGTTACGTGTTGGTCTCCGGTGGCCTTGGTGGTCTTGGGCTCAGAGGCCAGGACAAAGGCCTTGGCCAACCATTTGCATGGGTGACTTATTTATCAGGAGGCCCTGGTTAGTTTAAGCAAGGAGTTAGGGGGCCCGAGCTGCACTGCAGGTGGAGGTGACAGTAGATAGAGGGGGTGCAAGTGAGCACAGGGGCGAGACCGGCGGCGGGGAGAGGCTGAGCCACTGCGGGAACCCGGGGCAGGAGCTGGGGGCATTAAGGCAGTGCTGGCAGGCGGCTTCCCATCCGGCCCCCATCTCTGATCCTTCCAGGGCCCCATCCCTGAAAGCTGTGAACTCCTATCAGCCCCACAAAGGAAGAGGAAAATCCACGTTACCTGGGTGAGCAGATATTTAACTTGTAACGTGTAAAGAAACGTCGCCTACGAGAGAAAAATAGAGACGAATGTTCACATTTTGGCCTGATCATGTAGAGAGAGCTGAGAGCCACTGCTGGACTGCCCTTTGCTCCCGCAGGGACCACAGAGCTGTGTCACCGGGGAGGGGGAGCAGGAGAGGGAGGGGGAGGGGGAGGGGGAGGGGACAGAGGTGTCTAGAGCTGAGGGTTCCGCACATCTCCTATAAACGCGCATGACCCAGCTGGCCCTGGGGCAGGGGTACAGCTTCCTGTGCGCAGTGAGGACGCCTCTGTAGGTTGTGGGCTGGAAAGAAAGCCCTGGGCAAACTCTAGGGACGCTCCTTCTATAGACGAGCCTGTAGTCCTTTCTGCCAATACAGCAACGAACTGAACTGTTTAAGGTCTCAGGCTAAATTAAAGACCACGATACCGATTAATGAGAGCAGGGGACTGCTTTTAAGGGCTGAACTGTGTCCCCCTGCTGGACCCTAACCCCCGATGTGACTGAATCCGCAGATAATCTTTACAGTTGTGATTAAGTTAAAGTGAGGCCGCGAGGATGGCCCTGATTCGGGTGGACTGGCGTCCTTATAAGACAAGAGACACGACAGTTTCCTGCACAAGGAAGGGCAGGGCCATGGGAAGAGGCGAGATGGCGGCTGCCGGCCAAGGAGAAGGTCTCAGAGGCAACCAGCCCTTCGACACCTGGACCTTGGACTTTAGCTTCCAAAACGATGAGAAAATAGGTTTCTGGGTTTAAGCCTCCTGGTCTGTGGCATTTTGTCACGGCAGCCCCGGCCAACTAATGCAGCCAGTCCCGGCTCAACCGCGGGCGGGAATGCTTCGGAGGGTGCATCCCTAGGCGATTTCGTCCTTGTGCGAACGCCCTGAGTGTGTTACTCAAACCTGGGGGGTCGGCCTACTGCACCCCAGCCTGTGTGCTACAGCCCCGGCTCTGAAGGGAGGAAATGAATTCCCTCTAACCCTCCCGGTTCTTGGCTGAGACACCCCTGTAATACAAGACAGACTGACAGGAGAAAAACCACTAAAGTGTAATAACATGTCTGCCTGCTGTACACAGGAGGAGACCCCAGAGAGGAGAGGAACGCGCCAAAACGGCTGAAGCCACCACCTTAAAAGCATCTTCCGTGGGGAGTCGGTTATGGGAAGTGACCAGGACACGCACAATCACAAGGGTCAGGCGTGGTGCAGATTTCAGCCCTCATCTGCTCCCAGATAAGTTTCTGGGGATGAGGCCCCGCCTCCTCCTGGCACAGCCTGGGAGACACCCTGCGAGGGGAGAGGTCCTTACACGGTAAACGCACCTCACACAGGGCAGCTCCTACTGGGTGTCAGCTTCTCCCGTGTCTGCTGTTTCTTAAAAGGAACCGGCCTAAAATAGCCCTCATGCCGAAGAGACACATTCTGGTGACAAATCGTTCCCTACAGCCCTAGGCTGCAAATCTGTCACTGAGCCGCAGACAGGGCAGCTGCCGCACAGCAGTGTGTGTGATGCGCTGTGCAGCAACATTAGGAAGCTGCAGCTTCACCAGGCAATGGGAATGCTCCAGCTTGGGGGGCCCAGAAGAAGTCGCCCCGCGATGAGCCTCAGTGGTATGCAGATTGTTTTGAGCTAAAGAGAACTTTAACTGCAGGCTCAAGAGAAACTTCTGCTCCTCCCTTTAACTACCTAGAACTTGAATTAGGGGTGTTGCCCGTAATAAGAGATTATCACAATAACCTTCTAGGCCCACCCCTATGGCAGGGAAAACCTTTATTTCATGAGCATCTGCTCTTTTCGTCACCCTGCATGACCCCAGAGTCCCTCCAGCTGCAGGAGGCAGGGCAGTGCCCACTGGAGCCACCTGGACCTTGGAATTTCCTGAGGGACAAATGTCTGTGTCTTTCCTGAGCATAAGTAAAGCCACGCTTTCTGGAACGAGCCCACAGCACATGTGGGTATCACACGCGATCCAATTCATTGAGCTCATGGGCATCTCAGCTGCTTTTTCTCAGTGACCGCAAGAAGAAAACAGCTTAACGCTTGGAAACTTACAGGAAGAGCTGGAATGAAGATCATGACATAGGTATGGGTAAGCCTATACAATAAAAAGAAAATAAAAGTGAGGAGGTCTCCATCTCAAGGAAAAGGAAGGACAAACCAGCTGTCACTGCCTTTCACAGCCTCGGCTCTTTCTAAATTAATGGGCTCAACTGCTGCAGCAAATGCACACATTTACAATAGAGCTTGTCATCTCATAACCCAAATTACCTCTCTGGGTTCTTCCAAGCCTTTGGGTCTAGGGCGGCATTTTTCCAGCTCGGCACTGTGGCTGCTGAATTGTCTGCTGTGGGCAACTTTCCTGTGGTTTGTAGCATCCTGGGCTTCTACCAGTAGCGATGCCCTAATACCAGTTCTGATAACAGAATGTCTCCCGACATTGCCAACTGCCCCCTGGGGTCAGAGCCGCGGGTCTGAGACAAGGACTGCCCTGGCAGGGCCCAATCTTGGCAGCACGTTAGGGTCATCTAGGTGACCTCTGACAGACACCGCCGCCACGGCTGCCCCGCCCATGAGGACAGCGTGCTGGGCGGGAAGGAGGACCCGGCAGCGCTGGGCTTTGAAAGCACCGAGGCGGCTCCTACCGACCAGGGTCGATAAGCACAAGGCCACAAATAAACACCTTCAACGACCGCCTCTCGTGGAGATGCTGGCAAGTCGTATTTCTCCGCAGACTATCTGCCTTTGCAGCCACCAGGGGAGGCTCTGGATCACAGGGGCAGGTGTGCGAGCACCGGGCCCGGCAGGACCCACCGAGGAAGCTTACCGCCCCGTGAGGGGCCGTGGCCCTGGCCTTTGGCGTTTGCAGAGGCCAGGCGTGGATGGGAGCATCTCTCTGCGGGGATGGCCCTGCCCCGCCCTGCGCGGCCCGCCTTACCTGGACACGGCCGGGTCCTGCCGGAGCAGCAGCAGGAGGTGCTGGGTGTTGAGGAAGAGCGCCCAGCAGGGGAAGCAGCAGAGCAGCAGGATGAGCGCGCCCCGCTGCAGGATGACCCCCACGTGCTTCTTGTTGGGGCTGCCGTACGTCTGGGGGCACAGCCAACGCCAGCCCGTCAGTGCCCCGCGCCCCACAGGCCTTCGATGGCGCCTCAGGACCGACAGGCGCCCTATAGGCTTGGCTGCCTTCTGTACGTGCAGACGCCGCCGTCCCCGACAATCGCCTGGGAACAGCCTCCAAGCACGGAGGCGGCGTCTCGCTGACGATCGCCTGGATGTGACCGTCCCGGGTGGGGCCCAAATACCATAATTTTAAAAACCTTCCTGCTCAGCTGGGGTGGCCCAGTGGTTGAGCATCACCCTATGAACCAGGAGGTCACGGCTCGATTCCCGGTCAGGGCACATGTCTGGGGTTTTGGGCTCGATTCCCAGTGTGGGGGGTGCAGGAGGCAGCTGATTCATAATTCTCTCTCATCATTGATGTTTCTGTCTCTCTCTCCCTCTCCCTTTCTCTCCGAAATCAATAAAAATGTTTTTAAAATAAATAAAGAAATAAATAAATAAAGCTTTCTAGTCCGGGTTGCATCACCTGGAAACGTGTTAGAAATGCACTACATTGGGCCCCACACAGGCCTTCTAAGCAGAAACTCCGGGGAAGGGACGGTGGTGGCTGGGGCCGGCGGCTAGTGGCTTACCAACGCCAAACTGCACGTCTCTTCCCACGCCCTGTGCAGTGACATGTGTGGGGGGCTGAAACTCCCCTCGGAGGGAGCTACTTACACCGCTGGAATCAGCCCACCCACACGTCAAAATGCTTCTCTCCTGCGGAGACTACTCCACAGCCTGACCGCCGCCCACCGCTGCCTCACCCCCACCAGCTGGATGCTGGCCACACGCTGCTTCCTGACAATCCCGGGACCCTGACGACTGTCAGGCGGGCTGGTTCTGGAACAGGCTGTGGCCCTGCCTCAGGAAGTATGCGAGGCATCTGCCCTTATCTGGGTGGGGGCGGGTGTCACACCCGAGTACCCCTCTCCATCCCGCCCTGTGTATTTAGCCCCTCAGCACCTGTCACGTGGGGTGGAGACTATCCCATCACACCACTGCCCAAGACGCTGCTCCTCTGTAAGTTCCCTCAGTAACTCGGTGTATAACGGAGTTGTCAGCCCCTCTCTCGGGTCTCTCAGCCCAGGACATTTCTCTCAGCCTGGAGACCCCAGCAACGGGCCTGGGGAAAGGCATCCGCAGGGGAAATCCCGGGTTGGCCAGGACCTGCATGTGGGGAGGGTCGACCTACACACTAGACTGCAGTGTGAGCACAGGGGTGCCCGAAAGTGCCGCTGGTCCTATGGGTTTGTGTAAGTTCCCTTTATAATATACGCTGTGGCGCAGAAGACAAGCACGCGGCCATGGCTGAGGGCTGGCCCCTCGGGTGGGCGGCTGGCTGACCGCCAGGGTTAGAAAATTAGGGGATGAACTGGAACTAGAAAAAGATAGAATGTTGTCCACACCTCTATTAGAGCGGGGCTGACGTAAAGGTGGGAGGGGGAGGAAGGTCTCGAGATCCACTTCTTTTACGGAGGCCACAGGTCTGCCTGCAGCTGTGTGCGCGCGTGTGCACGTGTTCAGTGTGCGGTGTGTTCTACCCCCGGGTGGTGTTGCTAATTTGTGAGTGAGCTATGTTTGCTTGGCTCCAAAAACAAACAAGCGCTTACAAGGATTGGCTACTCTACAATTCTCAGAAACAAACACACACACTTCAAGTTCACCACAGAAGATTGATCTTCAGTAAATAAAAGCTGATTTAAGTTTGCTGACTTATGGAGAACAGACATGTTCTTGAGTTATCTACGGGCTAATAATTCTAATTAAGATGAAAAGAAAATAATATACGCTTTCAGTCAGAGAAGGAAAAGGTGTGAAAATATAGTTTTGAGAGAAAGAAAAGTAAGTTTGTCCTAAAGTGAGGCTGGTTGTTTCAGAATGAAAAGAGGAAAAGCAGGACAAAATCTGAATATAAAAAAAGGAGACTTATAGAAGGTTTGTGCAAAGTAGTAATGAGAACAGAAATCCGTGTGGGCAAGCTGAACTCATCACGGACGCGGATTTCAATATCAGGAGAAGCGGAGGCAAAGTCAGAGTCTTCCTCTGGCAGTGGCTGTGCAGTGCTCCAGAGGCCCCTGGAATGCCTCGAGGTTTGTTCTCTCTCCTTAAAAGAGAACAATATTAGACTAGGCTTACCTGGAATGTTGAAACTACTTGGGAAACATTGTCAAATAAGAAATAACATTGAGCCCTGACTGGTTTGGCTCAGTGGGTAGAGTGTCGGCCTGCAGACTGAAGGGTCCCAGGTTCGATTCCCATCAAGGGCATGTAACCTTGGTTGCGGGCACATCCCCAGTAGGGAGTGTGCAGGAGGCAGCTGATCGATGTTTCTCTCTCATCGATGCTTCTAACTCTCTATCCCTCTCTCTTCCTCTCTGTAAAATAATCAATAAGATATATTTTTCTTTTAAAAAAAGAAATAACATCGAGCCTTCTTTATGTTGTAGCTGTACATAAATGTTCCAGAAATTCCGTGGAATTGCTGGAAATCTGAGCTCTCCTGACATAAGATGCCTGTCATCAAAACTGAGGACACACCGAAGGGACTGGCCCTAAGTGTCAGATTGTGACCCTGAGTGTCAGATTGTGAAGTCTATCCTGTTTCTGCAAAAAGAAGCCCTCGCTGCCGGGCTTCCATCGCCCTGAGGTCTTTGTAACAATGGCAGCAGGCTGCTCCCGAATCCAGGTGGGTGAACAACTGGGGTCTTGGGAGGCCAGGTGGCCTCTTGGTTCCCCTCGGCTCCTGCCAAGCCCCATTCCCCACTGTTTGCATCCTTCGCGCCCCTGAATGCTGAGCCTGGACTTCATCCAGCTGCCGTCAGTTTGGTCACCAACGCGCTCTTGGCGCGTGTACACTTTCTGGAGGGGGTGCAGCCTCCCCTACTGATGCCCTCGCAGTGACCAACAACTGTTATGTAATGCGTCTCCCATGTGGGGTGTACCTTCCAAGCGCTCCCCTTCACACAGCCCCACCGCAGGCCATGGACGGTGGCTCGGGGCCTGTCCCTGTTTTCCTTCCCCGCCTCTGTGAGATGGGCTACTACGCTGATGACAAACGTTAACCTGCGGAGGTCCGCCTCTGCCGGGAAGGCCCTGCAGGCTCTGCGGCCCCACGCAGCAGGCTCCACAGGAACGTGCGGAGGGATCGCATCACGTGGTTGGCTAAGACCTGCTTTGTCCCCAAGGCTGTCACAAAGTACAGTCCTGTCCAATAAATACCAAAACATGTGAAAGAGAGATAGTCTTTCACAGGAATTCTGGGGTATCAGTGAACTCTTATACCCCATTGAGTGTAATGCCTTCGCCCATTACTGCCTGGTTAGGAAAGGACATAGATGGGCCGGGGCGGGGGGGCGGGGGGGGGGGTCAGAACAGCAGGCTGCCTTTGAGAAAGCAAAATGCTGGTGGCCCTGGCCGGTGTGGCTCAGCCCCTGTGTCAGCCCCTGTGACCTGCAAGAAAGGAGGGGCATTCTTGCTGAACCGATGGCTCTAGCGCAGCCGTGGGCAAACTACGGGCCGCGGGCCGGATCCAGCCCGTTTGAAATGAATAAAACTAAAAAAAAAAAAAAGACCGTACCCTTTTATGTAATGATGTTTACTTTGAATTTATATTAGTTCACACAAACACTCCATCCATGCTTTTGTTCCGGCCCTCCGGTCCAGTTTAAGAACCCATTGTGGCCCTCGAGTCAAAAAGTTTGCCCACCCGTGCTCTAGCAGGACAATCTGTCTACTGGATGCTGTTGCCATTCCGCCGCCCACTGATCCTGTTCGGATGGAAGCAGGAACAAAGCGCAGTAGCCAGTGGGCTGAGCTAAAAGTGGTTTGTCTGATCACTGACGCTGGCACAGCCAGGTGGGCTGTGACAATGGGAGGCAGAGGGGTGGGCAGCAATGAGCAAGCCTATATAGGACAGGAGGCGTGGGGACACATCTGGGCTCACTGGCAAAAGCCGGGGACAGAGCTGACCTTTTCCTGCCCCTGCCCACAGGCGTCTACCAGGTAAGCAGGAGGCAGACGCCTTAGCAACTGACCGTCAGCAGACACAGCAAATGGGAACTTGAAGAAGTGGACAGCCTAGTGTCTGAACAGGATGGCAGTTAATGAGGCTGCCCCCACAAAGGGACTAGAAAAGTCCAAGTCCCACCTATGTACGGGGACCCCCGTCGTAGAGAGTGACGGTGGGGGTCACATTTCAGAGGACATGATGTGCAGGCACGGGCGGAAGAACTCGGTACAGAATGGAGGTTCCACCTCCCCTGTGACCGCAGGCAGTGGGGCGGGTAAGTCAGAAAGATGATGTCCTTGAGCAACAGACAAAATTATTAGCTGGAAAACCTACGTTGGCCGGGTGAACAAAGGTGCTTTCGCAGGCATTCAGCATTTATGGGCTTTTGTTGTTGGTGTTTTGGTTGTTGTTGCTTTTTTAGAGAGAGAGGAACGGGAAGAGAAAGAGAGAGGTTTGTTGTTCCACTTGTTTATGCATTCATTGGTTGCTTCTTATATGTGCCTGACTGGGAATCGAACCCACAACCTTGGCATATTGGGACGATGCTCTAACCAACTGAGCTACCTGGCCAGGGCCCCAGGCCTTACTACATTTAAATAACCAAGTGCGGGTGCTGTTGCCCCACAGCCACATTAGGGACTCAGCCAGAGGCCCTATACAGTGAAGGCGTGGAAACGAAGGCACAGATGCTGGCCCTGGGCCAGAGGGCGTAGTCATAAGGACACCAGACCTGCTGTCCCTGGAACAGGGACCGTTTCCTGGAATCTGCAATGGGATTCTGTGCGAAGGGTCAGTGACTTCACGTCCCTGGATGGAGAGGAACTTCTCGGTCTCCTGTGGGACCCTGTCACTCTAAGGCAGTAGGGACCCATGGAGACAAGCCACATGAGGGCTGGCACACACACCAATGAAAGAGGGGAGAAGGGTGGGGTCCCGGGCTGGCTAGTCCTCCCACTATTTACCTCCTCGTGTCAGGAAGCACCACCCCCCTGGCCAACACGTAGAGCTTGCACAGCCTGGCCAGGTTCCCGAGGCTGTGGCTACGTCAACATCCAAAGACCAGGCTGCAAGTGTCACACTCATAGAGGAAGACCTCCCAGCTCAAGTCCCTGCTGACCTTGGACTTCTGTGCTCTTGTGGCATCCAACAGTTATGGGGCAGAGGGGCACCCCACTGAATGGGTGTGCTGCTGTTTGTTACTGTTGTTTTTATTAATTTCAGAGAGGAAGGGAGAGGGAGAAAGAGATAGAAACATCAATGATGACAGAGAATCATTGATTAGTGCCTCCTGCACACCCCACACTGGGGATGGAGTCCACAACCTGGGCATGTGCCCTTGATTGGAATCGAACCTGGGACCCTTCAAGCTGTAGGCTGACGCTCTATCCATTGAGCCAAACAGGCCAGGTCTGAATGTGGTGTTTCTTATACCAGATGAATCTGCTCGTATTTCTTCTTTGCTAACACATATGAAGGCTCATGTAAACGCGTCAGTGCCCCGACACCATGTCCTGGTGACCTAGCACCCAGCTCGGATCCTGAGGCCATGATGGAAAACATCGTTACTAATACCTGGATTCCTGCTTTTAGTGTTTTTCCTTTGCTTGCACCTCGATGTTGTTGCTGTGGACTGTGTCCCTAATGTGTGCCACTGGCGACTAAGCAAGCTACCTCCCTGCTAACGAAGCCCCTTGCTGACACCCAGGGTGCCTCCTGCGAGAGGCACAGGGGGGACTGTGGAGAGACGCTGCCATGGTGTGACTGCCTGGCGCTGCCAGGCCGCAGCTCGCTCTGGGACGAAACAGGGACGTCCGATGGGCCCTCCCTGTGCTGGCTGGTGTGTGTGGTTCCCAGAACATGCCCTGGCCCTGCCCTGGCAAGCATGCAAGGTCTTTCCCCTACCTGGGCGGGCCGCTGCAGTGCCCACTCCATCCTGCCCTGCCACCGGGCACAGAGGACCTGCCAGCCACGCCTCCCCTGTGACAAGCTCGATGAAAGGCGGAGGGTCAGCCTCTTCCTCGGGCCCTTGGCCCAGGGGCTTTTAGGAACACCCTCCACCCAAGGCACAAGCCCCGGAAATTCTGATGGACACTAAAGTTGGAGAGCCACGGGCTAACCACACTTAATGATGCGGAAAGCGGCAGAAGGGACTTGTATAAATATCCCCTTTGGTCAAAATGTCGTGTGAGGGAGCCGCGCAGATGAACACGGCCTGCACAGCGGAGGGGGCGCCGGCCACCCTGAGAGGGAGCAGGAAGGGGAGCTGGAACCGGAGGCCCGCAGGCCGCAGGGTGTCAGATTGTGTCCCTCTGTGCACTCGGCTCTTCCAGATCCGCCCAGGGAGACGCCCAGGGAGACGCCCAGGGTCGCTGAGAGTGGCCTGGGCCCCATTTACCTGAGACATGAGGGTGTCACAAGCAGAAGATAAGCCAAATCCCACGGAGATGCCAGTGACATTGATCACCTGGAAAGAGATGCAAAGGAGAGGCCGCTCAGCGTTCAGGGAAGACAGGAGGGGATGCCGGCGCCTGGGACAGCCCGCAGGGCCTCCGCCTGCAGAGACCGCGGCGCGGGCACAGAGGACGTGCACACGGTTAGAGAAGAGACGTGTAGGCCAGAGGCTCTACTCAGCCTTTTTCTTTTTTAATCTTCAGCATTTTGCTCCCTAATTTCAGAGGAACGCGCATCCTTCCTAAGGGGCAGGCAACGGGGCAGGACGCCAGGCGGGTAAGTCCACTTGCTCAAAACCAAGCCTGGCTTGTTCCAATGTCCCGGAGGACTCTGGGAGTGTAGAAGCCGGTCTCTGAAGTCAAGGCCAATGACAGGGGGCTCCCACATGTGCTGGTTTGACCAGGTCAGCAAGCCCTGGGGTTTCCGGAGCTCTGGGGAGCCCATGGCTGCAGCCCCAAGTCAGGGAGGGGCACGGCAGGACCTCTGCTGCTGGCCTTGTCTGGAACCTGCTACCTCCACCGGAGTCTGCGGGGAGGTGCCGGGGCAGGAGCCACACCAGCCCAGCCTGAGAGCACCAGCTTTCTTGCACGTCTTTGACCAAAGAGAATCTGCTGGAGGCCAGCTGAGTACATTTCTATCTCCCCCAAATTTCCAAACAGCAAAAACCAAAAAGGAAAATGAAGCCTGGGGCTGTCCACTTGCTCCCTGAAAGCAAAATCCTCTGCTCATGCTGGGGCTAGTGCAGAGTGGTAGTCTCGCAAGGTTCACCGATGCAGCTCAAAGCCTGGAGGGAGCCGGCAGGGAAGGCGAATGTGTGCCTTGTCCGCAGGAGCCAGGGGCATCGGGGAGGCCGGGGAGCGCATGCTGAGAGCAAGTGGGCGGGCCCTTCGGCCATGCAGAGCCAATTCACCCCTCAAGGACATCTCTCTCTGGTTTGGGGGGGATTTGATCTAAGATACAGAGAGGATGTGGGGTTCTTTCTGACTTTAGGGTTAGATAATAGGATACAGGATTTCATTTTCCAGTTTAATTTCTATATTAGGACTCTCAGTAAGACAGACAAATCACTGGGATGGGAGTAGAGGTCTCGGTTTCTTCTTTTTTAAATTAAACTTATTGAGGTGACATGGGTTAACAGGATCATACATGTTTCAAGTGTACATTCCCATGATACATGATCTGTGTATTGCATTGTGTGCCCCTCACCCAAAGTCAAATCATCTTCCGTCACCATATATGTGGCCCCTTTACCCCCCACCACCTCACCACCTCACCACCCCCTTCCCTCTGGTAACCACCAGACTGTCGTCTGTGTCTATGCGTTTTAGTTTTATATCCCAAATGAGTGAAAACATATGATTCTTAGCTTTTCTAACTGACTTATTTGCTTAGCAGGATATTCTCAAGGTCCATCCATGTTGTTGCAAATGGCAGTATTTCATCTTTTCTTATGGCTGAGTAGCACTCCATAGCATGTATGTACCACACCTTCTTACCCAGTCCTCTATGGAAGGACACTCTGGTGGTCTCCATGTCTTGGCCACTGTGACTAATGCTGCAGTGAACATAGGGATGCATAGAGCTTTGTGAATAAATGTTCTCGAGTTCTTCAGGTAGATGCCCAGGAGAGGATTGCTAGGTCATATGTTAACGCTATTCTTAATTTTTTGAGGAAGCACCAGACTGTTTTCCATGTGGCTGTACCAGCCCACATTCCCACCAGCAGTGAACGAGGGTTCATTTTTCTTCACATCCTTCCCAAAATGTGTTAATACTTGTCTTAATGATAATAGCCATTCTAATAGGTGTGAGGTGGTATCTCATTGTAGTTTTGATTTGCATTTCCCTAATAGCTAGTGAGGTTAAACATATTTCCACATCTGTTGGCATTTGTATGTCTTCTATTAGGAGTTAGTGCTCCCTGGTTGGGTGCATATATATTGGTAAGTGTTTTGTCTTCTTGACATATGTCCCCTTTATCATTATAAAATTTTCATCTTTGTATCTTGATACCTTTGTTATCTTGACATTTATTTTGTCAGATGTAAGTATGGATGTGGATGTGACTTGCTTGGAGAATCATTTTCCACCCTTTCACTTTGAATACACCTTTGTCTGTAGTTTAGCTGTGTCTCCCGAAGGCAGCATATGGATGGGTTTTATTTTTGTTTTTGTGTGTTTTAATATGTTTTTATGGATTTCAGAGAGGGAGAGAGAGATAGAAACATTAATGATGAGAGAGAACCACTTATCAGCTGCCTCCTGCACGCCCCACACTGGGGATTGAGCCCGCAACCTGAGCATGTGCCTAACTGGGAATCGAACCATGACCTCCTGGTTCATAGTTCGATGCTCAACCCCTGAGCCAAGCTGGCCGCGCGATGGGTTTTGTGTTTTTGGTCCACTCTGCTACTCTGTGCCCCTTTAATGGTGAATCAGCCCATTGGCATTTAGGGTGATTATTGATTGATGTATAAGGATTCCTACAGCCATTTCATCTTCTGTTTTCTGGTAGCTCTGTGCCTCCATTGGTTATTTTCCTTTGTGTTTCTGTCTTTTGTTTTTATTTGGTGATATTCCATACTTCTCTCCTCTGTTTTCTCCTTTTTTTAAAGCTATATTTCTCCATTTTGGTTTTTTTTGTGTGTGTGATTACCATCCTATATAATAAAAGGCTGAAATGCAAATTGACCAAACAGCAGAACAACTGGTCGCTGTGATACACACTGACCACCAGGGGGCAGACACTCAATGCAGGACTGTCCCCTGGTGGTCAGTGCACTCCCACAGGGGGAGCGCTGCTCAGCCAGGAGCCGGGCTCACAGCTGGTGAGTGCGGCGGCAGTGGCGGGAGCCTCTTCCGCCTCCATGGCAGTGCTAAGGATGTCTGACTGCCAGCTTAGGCCCGCTCCCCCAGGGGAGTCCGAGGGCTCCCAGACTGCAAGAGGGTGCAGGCTGAGCTAAGGGACCACTCCCCCCGCACCCCCGCCCGCCCCAAGTGCATGAATTTTGTGCACTGGGCCTCTAGTTAGATTTATAAAATATAAAGTTTCATATATACTGTAGTCCTTTTTCTTTTGAATGCATCTGATCTTCATCCTCCTTTGCAAATTCAGACCTTCCCTCTCCCCTTTTATGTTTTTGTTGTCACAAATTATCCTTGTTAATGCTTTAAGTTTTTTGGTGATCTTACCCGTAGTGTTGTGACCTTATGTTCTTTGTTTCAGGTAGGATGACCCCTTTGAGTATTTCCTACAATGGAGGTCTTCTGGTGATAAAAGCCCTAAGCTTCTGTATGTCTGGAAAAATCTTTATTTCTCCTTCATATTTAAAGGATAACTTTGCTGGCTATTATTCTTGGCTGGTAATTTCTCTCTTTCAGATGTTTGAATATTTGGTTCCCCTCTCTTCTGGCTTGTAGAGTTTCTGCTGAGAAGTCTGATGATTACCTAATGGGATTGCCTTTATTGGTTACTTTCCTCTTTTCCCTGGCTGTCCTGCGAAGTCATTAATTTTTGACAGTTTTAATTCAGTGTGCCTTGAAGAAGGCCTCTTGGGATTGAGGTTAACTAGGTGTTCTGCTTGCTTCTTGGGTCTACTTCTCTCCATAGGTTTGTGAAGTTCTCATCCACTATTTGTTTGAATAGGCTCTCCATTCCCTTCTCCCTCTCTTCTCCTCCTGATGTGCCCTATTATTCCCAGACGGCTCTTTCTGTTGGAGTTGGATGGTTCTCACGGGGTTCTTTCATATTTTTTTTAAGCTCAGGTTTCTCCCTTCTTCCCTCTGCATCGTTTCGATATTTCTCGCTTAGATAAAGTAATTCTTTCCTCCATCTGGTCTGCTCTATTTCCTATGCTCACTTGTTCATTCTTAAACTCTTTTATCGAGCTCTTCACCTACAGAATTTTTGTTTAGTTATTTAATAAAGTTTCAATCTCTTTGGTAAAGGTTTTGTTTCTTAATTTGTTTTCTGAATGCATTAAATTGCCTGTCTGTATTTTCTCGCATCTCACTGAGTATTTTCAGAACAGCAATCTTGAATTCTCTGTCATTTATGCCACATATTTTCATGTGTTTACGTTTGTTTTCTGGAGATTTTTCATTTTGTTTCTGAGCTGCCTCACTACCTTGGTTACTCATGGTGTTAGATGGATTCCTTCTCTGTCTAGGCAGCTATGTATGCGTGCCCCTTTTCTAGCTGATTACGAAGAGGTCTTTTTATTAGTTTCTAGTAGGTGGCAATGAATCACAAGTTTCTTTTAGCTCTGTAAAACCAGAATGCTGACCCCCAGCAGCGGTTCTGGCTGCCATCAGTACAGCCGCGATGCCTGGGAATGGGGTTGGCTGAGGGAACCCAGCCGCCTTCTTTGTTTTGCCCTCCCAGTAATGGCAACCTTGGACCTCTGCAAAGGCCCCCTTGAGCCCCAACCGGGGGCCAGTCAGGTTTGTGAATAACGTGCTTCACAACCAACACCAGGGTGAAGGGAGAGGAGTCCTGAGAGTCCTCGGGTGGCAGGACTCCATGGCTTTGCTTCTCTGTCTTGAATTCCAGCTGCCAGACAACTGCAGCAGCAGCCCATGCTGCGTCCTGCCCCGGCCCGGACCGGCTGCAGCTCGGGCTGCTCACTGCCGCAGGCGTGCAGACCACGCCTCTCTGCTCCTCCCGGCTGAACCGGGTTCCTCCCCTCCCCTGCATCCATGCTCGTCCGAGCCCTCCTCCCTCCCGCCTCCCCCCGTTGTTCCCCCTTGCCCACCTTTAGATGCTGCAATGTGAAGATCTCTCAGCTGTGCCTGTGCCTTGAGCAGGGAATCCCAGGCTGCGTTAGAGTTGTTCAAATTGTTAAAACTCTAAGGGAAGCCACCAAAGGGTTTCTCACGCCGCCATTCCTCTGGCATCACGCTCCTTTATTTCCTTTACACAGGCATGCCTCAGAGATATGGCAGGTTTGGTTCCAAACATGTAAGAAAGCGGCTATTGCAATAAATCAAATCATAATCTTTTTGTTGATGGAGGGTCTTGCCTTTTGTTTGCCAAAATGCCACACTTAACCGCTGGCAACAGGGGGCCTGTGAACTTCTCTTCGGGTGTCATCTGGTCCTTGTCCTCCAGGTTAGCCGTGGTGCCTGGGGTAGAGGGTGCGAGGCCTTCAAACACTTCACCCTCATGACCTCAGCTGCTTTTCAGTACTCACGCTGCATGTTGGACGACAACCGGCTGGTCACGGCTCGGGGAAGTGCTCGGCTCCGTCCCATGGCTCCGGAGAAAGCGCTCGCACACGTGCGCTCATGCTCTCGGACTCCACGCCCCACGGCCCCTCCGGCCAGGCCCTCTCCACACTTTCTTCTAAGTCAGAGTTCAACCCTTCTTTTCCGATTCCCTTCTCCCAGATGTGGGACCAAGAATGGGAGCCAGATCTCCATGGATTACAAATAAGCTGATGCGGTAGACAGAATGAAGGCCCCTCAAAGAGGTCCCTGTCTCCACCCGCAGAATGTGGGACTATGCGAAGTTACAGGCAAAGGAGAACTCAGGCTACAGCCCTGCCAACATCTGACCTTAGTGAGCTCAGTGGAGCCCATTTCAGACTTCTGACCTCCAGCACTGACGCTAACACATCCGCATTGGTTCAAGCTGCTAACCTGTGTCATTCCTGAACATAGCAACAGGCAGCGCGTACAGATGGCTTTCATAAATAATACGGACATGTCAGAACAGTCCCACACGTACTGCGATTGCAAGTGTGACGGCATCCAATTCCAGCTTTCCCAGGTGGCCGCAGAACACGGAGCTTATGAAACTGATCAGAAACACCATCAACTGGGCCAGGAACTGGAAAGAGACAGAGAACAAAAAGTTACATACGAATGCCAACCATCACAGAGGGAGAGGAGTGTGATTCCTGGGGTACTCCCCCGCCCCGCCCGCCCTCTGAATCAACTCATTAGAAGTGAGGCGCCAGGGTTCAGGGAGCACTGCCAGCTCCCACAGGGAATGTGCAGGTCCTGGTGGGTTTCTTGAAAACATTGAAAAGCCCGTTGGTAACTGCTCTCAGAATCACATTTTTAAAAGCTTCCTACCTTTTCAAATCTATTCTCACTTTAGATTCTCATGCCACAGATCACATGTATATTTTTTCTGAGATTTTCAGAGGCTGCCTTATGAGATAAGCCTCTTGCTATCCTAGATTCATAATGAGAACTAGAGAGAACACAGCCTCCAATAGCCAGCAAGAAACTCCACAGGCAGAGCAGCTGAGGCTGAAATAAGACCATCCGACCAGACCAGCGGGATCTGGGATTTGAGTGACATGTTACCGGCCTGCAGAGCACGGTAATTCCTGAATTCCATGAAGCTTTCGCCAGGAGGGCAAGCCCAGCTTCGGGGCCATTGAGCTATTCTTCCTCACGGCTCCAGCAGCCAGCAGGAGTCGCTCTAATGCTTTAGCTGCAGGTTTGTACTCTTATTTCCTTCCATTAATTTAAAACCACCTCCCACCTGCCCTCAGGCCCAGAAAACCCAGGACACCTTGGGAAAGCCTCTCTCTCTGGAAGCTCATGTGGCCCAAGAGGTGGGTTCACCTGACTCCCACTCCCGAGGGAAGAGAACAGGTGCCTGCGGACTCACTGCTGCTGCCCCCTCTCAGCTCCTCAAGGGAAAAGGTCTCTTGGGCCTGGGGCGCAGACGACACTGTCTTCTTGGCTCCTAGGGAAGCTTCTAGCTCTCCCCTCCGCCAGCCCACCGGCCAGCACCGCCGCGGGTCCAATTTGCGATGTTGGGACCTCACCGTCCCGCCCCTGATGTTTCAGATGGCAGCCCTCTTCCCTTCCCCAAACCCGCACCTGGGGGGAGTTTTCCACTCTGCGGATGGGCCCAGACCCTCACTTCCTGGAAGGCCTGCTTTGAGGGGGGGTGGAGAAGCACATCTTTTCTGCACTGACTTCCAAACCGTGACCCAGTGCCTCTCTCACTGCAGAAAACAAGGGTGACTCTAATCTCCAATGGCCTCCTGCTGCTTAGCAGAGGGCTGCTTCTGGAATGTGTTGCAAAGTAAGCCAAAAGCAGACAGAAGACAGGCCTGAAAAGCGAGAGGCAGGGGTGTACATGGAGAAGGTTGGTATGAACCCAGCGCTGCAGAACCTGAGCTGGAGCCAGCGGACCCTGTGGGCCCGGGCCAGCCACTCGCAAACACTCCCCGTGGCTTCGTTGGCTGCAGCTTGGTGTCTCTTTCAAGTATAACTTAAAGGTCTTAGGATCCCCCTCTTTTTTCTTCTTTTGTAACCTCAGCATCTTTCCCATCTTTTCAGTCCTTGTCCTTTGCGCCTTTATGCGCACACACCACTGCAATCAGCAGCACAGATCTGCTTGCCTTTCCCCGGAGCACGCGCTGCCCCCATGCCCGGGCCCCCTGCAGCCCCGCGCACACTCCCATGGCTGCACATGAAGCCTGCTGGGTCTCCTCCACCGCCAGGCCTTTGGGTGGCTTCGCAGGTTTTGATAATACAAATCGTGTTGCACAGAACACATTCACAATTGGGTGGAGAACCGGCATTTTCTTAGGGCGAATGCCCAGTCCATGGGTGGGAATACAGTCATGTGCCGCCTAATGGCATTTTGGTTGATAAATATTATGATTGAGACTCATGAACATGGGCCTGTGGGAGGAGCCAGGGCCTGTGGGAGGAGCTAGGGCTTGTGGGAGGGGCCATGGCCTGAGGGAGAAGCCAAGGCTCATGGGAGGAGAGCCCTGCAGAAGAAAACATGCTGACAATAAAGCTCTCTGGCGGTAACTGCCCTTCCGTTTAACTTCCTCTTCCCTCTCCATATACTTCCCCACCTAAGCACACGGAGCAGCGTGCACACAGCTTGCAATGTCTGCACACAATGGCTGCAACCTTTTTTCCCATTGTATGAATGCACCATCACTTTTTAATTAAATCCACAGGTTGTCCCCAGTAATGAACTTCCCACGTTCGCATATTTCTTTGTACACCTGGGGGAAGATGCCCTGTAAGAGAAATTCCTAGAGGTACAGCTGTTGTCAAAAGGCACAGGTGTTTCAAGTTTGCATAGATAGAGCCCAAGGGGGTGTGTGCAGAGGGTTTGGGGAGGGAGGAAAATTTAACCCATCCTCCGCATCCCCAGATGTCAAGGCCCCTTCAGACCAGGGCGTGCTGTGAGGGTAGGTACTGCAGCACCCCGGCTTTGTGGAGGTAGGACATAAAGCCACCTGCACTTGGCAGAAAGAAGACTCCAAGGCTGGCCCTCTGTGCCTCGGGCTGGAGCCCCTGCCGGGACTGCCTGTAGCTGGCAGATGGGGCAGGTGGCGAGGGCTTCTCACCGATGCAGGCTGAATGGGTGAAACAACTCCCAGGATAAATCCCAGGACTGACCCAGGAGGGAGTGGGGCTGAGACCAGGAGTGATGCAGTGAGGGACCTGGGGACAGACCTGGGGCCCAAAGCCCTGCGTCTCCCTCGGGCGACCCCTGATTCCTCTGGCGGGGACCTCGCCCTCGGCTCATGTACTCCAGGAACAGGAAGCAGAAGCCTGGGGCGCAGAGCCTCCCGGCTGGTTGGGGCTCCACCTTTGATTGGTTCATCCAGGCTCCTGGCCTAGTCCTGGGTCTATCCCGATCTTTTTATTTTTCCCCCAATTAATCCTTTCTGGCAATGAAACACCGAGCCGATATTATTTTTCATTCGGCATGGCCTATAGGAACCTAGCAAACGACGGCGGTTCTGTAAGATTACAGTGGGGCTGGAAACCTCAGCTGCCCTAGTGACCTGACATCCAAGCTGCCAGGAGGAGGGAGCGCCAGGAGGGGAGGCACTCACACACATTGCTGTGTCTTTCTGAGACAGGCCAGTAAGCCAGGACGAGCGGAACAGAGAAACTGAGGCAGATAGTTAAACGGCCAAGCAGTTTACACACACAAGCAGTTTACAGCCATCTAGTGAACTGCAAACCCTCCCTTCTTAAGCAAGGACACTTAAGAATAATGGTTTACACTTCTCCCCAACCAGAGGTAAACAGCTTAAATCAGCCCCCTCAGGGACACAGACAGCAGAAACCCAGTCAGTGCCATCTGTGCCAACCCCACCCAAGGACAGATGAAGCCAGGGGAACAAATCCCATTTTGGTGCCTCAGCATAAAGCTGGGGGATATTCTGTTGAGCTAATCCCACACGACCTTCCCCAAGCTCCTGCCTGTAAAACCCTCAAGCTGCCCTGGCTGGGTGGCTCAGTCAGTTGGAGCGCTGCCCTGTAAACCGAACGTTTTCGGGTTCGATTCCCAGTCAGGGCACATACCTAGGTTGCAGGTTTGATTCCTGGTCAGGGTCCTATGGGAGGAGGCAACCGATTGATGTTTCTCTCTCTCTTTCTCTGTCTCCCTCCCTTCTTTCCTCTCTCTCTCAAGTCAATAAAAACATATCCTCTTGCTCTGGCTGGTGTGGCAGTTGGTTGGGGGGTCGCCCCATGCCCCTGGAGGTTGCTGGTTTGCACAAGTTGCAGGCTGGATCCCTGGTAGGAGGTGTGAAGGAAGCAGCCAATCAAAGTTTCACTTTTGCTCTCACATCAATGTTTCTCTCTCTCCCTCTCCTTTCCCTTTTCTTTAAAAAAAAAAAAAATCAGCCCTAACCGGTTTGGCTCAGTGGATAGAGCGTCGGCCTGCGGACTCAAGGGTCCCAGGTTCGATTCCGGTCAAGGGCATGTGCCTTGGTTGCGGGCACATCTCCAGTGGGGAGTGTGCAGGAGGCAGCTGATCGATGTTTCTCTCTCATCAATGTTTCTAACTCTCTATCCCTCTCCCTTCCTCTCTGTAAAAAAATCAATAAAATATATTTTTAAAAAAATCATTCCAGACAGTGTGGCTCAGTGTCGACCTATGAACCGGAGGTCATGGTTCAATTCCCGGGCAGGGACATGCCCAGGTTGCAGGCTTGATCCCTGTGGGGAGAAGAGTGTGTGCAGGAGGCAGCCAATCAATGATTCTCTCTCATCATTAATGTTTCTATCTTTTTCTCTCCCTCTGCCTTGCTCTCTGAAATCAACACAATATATATTTTTTAAAAAGCTTTTAGGATGGAGGACCCCGTGGGCTGTCCCTCCCGGGAGCACACCCTCGCCTAATCAAGGACCAGACCCTTCAGAACTGCCCACCCCAGGGCACGCTGTGTGCCCAGGGAGCTGACCGCCTGCACCCTGGCTTGTGCCCCAGGGCTCTCAACCGCCTGAACCGGCAGGGCTCGGATGTAGCCAAACTGCCACCGAGAGAAAGGTGGGGCCCTGGCCGCCTGTTCCGTGTCCTCTGCCCGCAGCCCCACCGGTTCTCGGCGCCCGTGTACCCCCTTCTCCACACGGACGGACGGAAACCAGCGCCCTGGTCTGGGCCCAGGCTAGTCCCCTCGTCTCGCTGGCACAGCCCACACAGCGGACAGGCAGGCCCTCCTCGGGATTATTTTCCAGATTTTTGACAATTCAGCCGGGCAAGGAGTTGTTAACAACAAAGAAAGTCGGGGAAACACCCAAGGCTTGGCCACGGTCCCTCCCTCACAAGCGCATACTTCCCCACAGCTTCCTGCCGGGTGAGTGGGAAAGGCGCTGTGTCCCGCACTGTCCTGTCTTCCCAGGCCCCATTTACAGTCCGGGGGAGGGCGGTGAGTCCTCTGGGAGACTCACGGCTCAGTGCTGAGCTGGAGGCCTTAGGGAGACGCGACGGGAGGGAGGTCAGCAGGGATCCAGACCAGGGTCCTACCTCACGCACCGTGGG